AACTACAATTCTACCTCCATGTTGTTCCATACATACAACATTCTCATTTCCCACCTTCTATACTGGCTGGCCCCAAATGCCTGGAATGCTCTCTCTCCTCACCTCTGCCTCTTAGCTTTCCTGCCTTCCTTCAAGACTCAAATCAAATCCCACCTTTGGCAGAAGATTTTTCTTGTTCTCCTCTTTTCCTGTGCCTTTCCTTAGGGATTATCTTCATTTATTTACACCGTATATATCTTGTACATACATAGCTATCCTCATGTTGTTTCTCTCAATAGAATGTGAGCTACTTAAAAAAAGGGACTGTATTTCTGCCTTTCTTTGAATTTCCAGCGCTGAGCACAGTGCCCGGTAAGACCTAAATCCTTGTTGACAACTGACTTCCCTCTGAAACCACAAAGAAGTCTGCTCCTTCCTCCAACATAACTGATAATATGTAGTGTCCTTGCAAAGTTCTCTCGTTTCCAGGCTAAACAATTCCTCACGCATTCCTGCCTCTGAACCTTTGTGCACATCATTGCCTCCCTCTTATTTCCTACTTCATAAATCCAGACTCAAATACAACCTCCTTTGTGAAACCATACCTCATTCCAGCCCAGTCCCCAGCCAGGAACGATCTCTTCTACTTTTAAAATTCTGAAACTCCCATAGCTCTCTACTGATGATTCAGCGCTTCTGATGCTGTTTTGTATCGGTTATTTCTATCTCCCCCACCACCGTGACCACCACACGTGACTATGAGCTCACTGAGGGCAGGGACTGGGTTTTAGTCATTTCTATATGGGCCCCTCCCCCACCCCAGTCCCCAGCAGAAGACTTTGCACATAATGGATGCAGGATGAGTATTCATTGATTTATGTGAATAGAATGAGCTGAGTCTGAAATGTGCAGATAGAAGGATTATGAAGATGAGAGGCAGAAGCCACAGTCAGTGGTTGAGATCTAAAAAATCTGGCAAGCGTAGGTGACAGTAAACTGCCTAATCCAAAATTTCGTCTGCACAGTAGAAAAGCAGGTACAGCCCCACTTGAGAAGAGACCTGTCCAGGAACTCCTGGCTCTTGACCAGAATGGAAGATTTGGTTTCCACACAGGTGAATAATCCAAGTTTGCCAAGAGGGAGCAGGGCCTTTGTGCTACTGAACCTCCATAGAGTGGTCTTTCAGTCACCTTAACACCTGGAGAAGAGGGATTACAGAAATACTTTTTCTCTCTTAAGAAGACTGCCTCAGCTCCCCAAAGGAGGATGGATTCCATTCTAAATGCTGTTCTTCTTCTGCCTTGACAAAGGAACAACCTTTCTTCAATGAAAATCCTCAAGATGCTGCCAAATAGGAGTGAAGAGGATGTATTGATGGGGGAGGGGGTTAGAAGTAATTGTGATAGTAATTAATAGAGTTTGTTAGAAGCATCAGAGATTACTGGGAGTATTTGAAATCTAGAGCAGTATTTCTTAACCTTTTTTTGTCTTGGACTACTTTGGTAGTCTAGTGAAACCTAAGAATAGTGTTTTCAAATGCACAGAATTACACAAAAGCCATTTGCATTGACATAAAGATATAATTTTCCCATTAATGTTCACAGACATTTTGGGATTAAAGGGAAGAATCCATGAACCCCAGGTAAAGACTCCCTGTTCAAGAAGTCTAAAATCCTATAGATATGATATTATCAAGGTAGGCACCTAAGTAGCCCATACAAGGTCCAAAACACCTACACAAACTTTCGGGAAACACCTGGGAACAAAGTTTTCCCTTAACATACCAAGAGGAAAAATCTATCCATAGAGTAATTGAGCTGGAAAGGACCTTTGGGAAGATCAAGCCCAACCTCTTCATTTTCCAGATCAGGAATCTTAGGCCAGAAAGGTGAGGTTCCTGATGTCACAACATTAAACTAAATCAACTCATCTACATTACTGAATCAAAGTCCAGAGCTCTCTCCATTGTTACACAGTCCTTTCTATGATGAAGAATTGTAAAACAAATCATTTGAGAGAAGCTGCAAGAAAACACAGGATCCCTAAGAAATGTATAAAGTATTCTGGGGATCAGCCTACCAAAGCATACTCAATTGCTATATAGAAACAATTACAAAATGGTCATTAAAGAAACTAAGAGCAAATTAAATAATTGGAGTAATATTCAGTGCTCATGGCTGGGTAGCACCAGTATAACGAAGATGGCAATTCTACCAATATTAATTTATAGACTTAATACTACATCAGTAAAATTACCTAACAGATATTTTAAAAAGTTAATAATGGCAAATTTCATTTGGAGGGGGAAAAAGGAATCTAAAATATCAGGGGAAATAAATGATTTAAAAGTAGAAATGAAGAAGGAACAACACAGCCAGACCGAAACCATATTATAAAGGAATAACCATCAAAACTATTTGGTACTGGTTAAAAATTTAAAAGTAAGTGAAAGGAACAGACCAGACATGGAAATATGAGAAATAACTGAACTCAAAAAGCCAGTGTTAAATAAATAAATGACTACAGAAATAAATAGATGAATGAGTGGCCTGAGAAAGAACTCTCTATCTGACAAGAAAAGCTAGGTAAACAAGAATACCATTTGGCAAAAATTAGGTTTAGACCAACAACTTATACCATATGCAACAATAAACTCAAAATGGATACATGACTTGAACATTCAAAAGTATAGGATGGTAGGATCATAAGCCTAAAGCTGAAAGGGACCTTAGAAGTCATCTACTCCATTCCCTCTGACATATTACACATGAAGAAACTGAGCCACAGATCTTCAGTGATTTGTCCAGGATCACACAACCATTATACGTCTAAGTTAGAATTTGAACACAGTCCTCTTGACTTTTAGGTCAATGCTCTGTTCATGACACGGAGCTGTATCAAATTGCCTGTTTTCTTACAATTTCCCTCCTTTTTTTCTTGTCCAAATTCTTGGAAATCTCCCAAACCTTGGTCAGTCTCTGTGTCCTCTGTTAAGCCTCCCATATACTCATGGTCTTCATTGGTAGTTCTCTTCTCCGATCCCCTCTACCATTTACAGATGGTACACTGCACACTTTTAAACTATGACTTGAGTTGTTTCTTATTTTTACATCTTTTCTCACCAACTTGACTGCAAGCTCTTTGGAGGCATCTTTCTCTTCTTAAAACAAGGTCTGGCATGAAGTCAATTCTCAGTAAATAATAGTGCCTGGCACATACTAAACTTTTAAATATTTACTGACCAATTAACCAAAACAAACTATTTAACTAAATTATGGCATTGAATTTGTGAATGCTCTTTGAAGCCCAAACTGAAGATCAAGCAATGACAAATCTGATAAGGTGTCTTGGACTCCCCTGATATTTTTCCTACTTGGGGAGAGAGGAGAAGGAATAAGTATGTATTAAGCACCTACTATATGCCTGGAACTATACTAAAGACTTTATAAATATTATCTCATTTGATTGTCACAACAACCCAGTGAGACAGGTGCTACTATTACTCCCATTTTGCCAGTGAGGAAACTGAAGCTGAGAAAGGTTAAGTGACTTACCCAGAGTCACTTAGTAAGTGTCTGGAGTCAAATTTGAACTCAGGACTTTCTGACTCCAGGCCCAGCTCTCTGTGAACTATGGTGCTAGCTAGCTGCCATTGGTAGAGTCTTCTTAGGGATGAATGAGTGATCAATTGTTGGTCAGTCATTTTTCAGTCACGTCCAACTCTGTGACCCTATTTGGGGTTTTCTTGGCAGAGATACTGCAGTGGTCTGCCATTTCCTTCTCCAGCTCATCTTACAGATGAGGAAACTGAGGCACAGGGTTAAGTGACTTGCAAGGGTTAAACAGCTAATAAGTGTCTGAGGACAAATTTGAACTCAGGTCTTCCTGATTCCAGGCCTGGCACTCTATCCACTGCATCACTCAGCCGCCCTGAGTGATCAATCAGAGACAAAGAAATGATTGTATGCATTCACAGATTTGTGGAAGTTTTAGCTCAGAAAGTACCTCTCCTAACAATAATATAAGCAGCTCATTTCTATAGTGTTTTATGAGTTACAAAGCACTTTCATCACAATAACCTTGGGAAGTAAATGGTATGAATAGCATCATTCCCATTTTACAAATAACAAAAAGTGTCAGAGAAGTTAAGTAGTCTGCCAGGGTCCACAGACCTAATGAGACAGAATCAGCACTTTAACTCAGAACATCTGAGGCCCGTAGAAAGCAATGTGCCCAAGGTTATATAGCTAGCTCTGGAGTCAGAATTAGAACTCAGGGCTCTTGCTTGCAGTACTTTTCATTATGACACCATGACTATAGATTTTTAAAGTATTTACTGTTTATCTCATGTGTTTATCATTCTGCTTAGTGCTAGAGTTGAAGAAAAAAGATAAGCCCTGCCCTAAAGAAGTATCTACTATTGGCTGGGGAGACAAAACACATACATAAAACAATTAGTACACAATATTAGGCAATGTAAATGGATAATTAAGTGCTAAATTGATTTGTAAAAATGATGTAAGTGCTGTCAGAGTCCTAAGGGGGGGAGGGTAACATTGAGAAGTAAGGTAGCCAAAGATCATAGGACCACAAATACTAGAACTGAAAGGGGTCTTAGAAGTCATTGAGTCCAACCTTCTTGTTTTACAGATACTGAAGCATAGAATAGTTCCGTTATTTGCCATGGGGCACCCACTTAGGTCTGAAGAGATATTGTAGCCTAGGTCTTTCTCAATCCAAGCCCAGTCCCTTACCCACTGCACCACATTTCCTCTCACAGAAGACTTCATGGAAGAGATAGGCCCAAGTCTTGAGGAATGGGTAGGATTTGGACAGGTAGAGGTGAAAGGAGAGGGGCAGGAAGCATTCCAGGGGAAGGGAAGAAGGGCAAAGGCAGGAATGAGCGTGGAGGGAGTTATAGTCACAGAGGAACTCATTTGTAAAAGGAGTTGAAGGAGTGAATCAACGAGAAAATAAGCAAAAATAAAATCCATAAAACAGCTTTCTCACTTGCCTCCTAGGACACTCTTATCACTCACAGTAAGAAGAAATGGAGCAATAACCCCGGATGAATACCTCAGAATGAAATCAGTAGCACCTGACTCCTCCCCTGGAGCTTTCAACTCTATCAATCTACAGTTTTGGGCAAATACCAAGCTTGCCCAGTGCACAGGTGCCATATGTTGTTTGTTTTTTTTTAAATCAGACCTATCAGATAGTCTTCCCTACCGTTTGGGGGGGGGGAGGGAAAAGTGTGTTTTTTTAACTGTTTTTTTTGCTTGAACTTGCCCCCTACCCCACCACCCCCAACTTGAATTCCCATCTCCAAAACCATTTCTCTGCCCAACCTCATAAAGTAAACAGGAGACAAAATTATATCTTCCAAAAAAAGAAACTTATTCATCTCCAACGAACCAATCAGGATATGCATTCACACACTCTGACAAGCTCGACAAAGGTGAATTGGTTCTCTAAAATTCTGCCAGTAATTTGCAGTAATGGGGCTGTTTTCCCGCAAGAATCACTCGAGGGCATCAAGGCTTTGCCTAGGTTTTCCAGGGTCCTTAGCGCTCAGCACTGACCTACTCCAGCTGCAGGTATCTTAAAACTACCTTTAATGAAGTAACAAGTGCTCAGGAGAAACATTTAAAAATAAATAAATAAATACATAAAAAGTGTTGTCTGTGGTCATATGCTAGATCCACCTGCACTCAGGACAAGGAAGAAAGAAGGTGTTAAGGTAAGTGCTGTTCTCCCCATTTTACAGAGGGATAAACTAGCTGTATTTTACCAAGAGTCAATGACTTACTCAGAGTCCTTTAGTGAGTTAGTGTCACAGTTAGGACTAGAAATGAGACCTCTTGACCCCTAGACAAAGTTCTTTTTACCCCATCTTTCTCTATTCAAGATGGATTGGTCATCTATGCCTGGGACAATATATTAGCCTTATTTAATGATCATTATCAATAATAATAATAACTGGCTTTAATGTTTACAAAGCACATTATACACATTATCTCATTTAACTATGAGGGGGAAAACTAAATTGATGGCAGTCCCTGTCCTCAAGCAGTACATCTTCTAGTAAGTGGCACAAGATGAATGTGATTAAAGAACAGTAATGCCCAATCCTGGGATTTCCTCCGTGTCGGATACTTTCTTCCACTTGAGTTCTTTAAGGACGCAAGATTTCTTTAATGTGAGTACTCCTTTTCCAAACACATTTCATGACCCTTCTAAAATCTAGTGTACAGTCCTTAGGGGTTGTTGTGACTAAAAAGATTCATCATCTTTCAACCAACTAGTGATGAACCTCTTTGAACTTAGTTACACCTACTTGGACAACAGATACACCAGTTTCTCCCTTGCTCCATACTCAAAGCCTTTACTACTTGGCAGGACCTATAGAAGTTTGTGCTCTGCTAGCATTGTTCCCAAGAACCCAAGATCATTTGTGCTCCGATATGGTCTAGAGGCATAGGATTCTCCTTCGTATGTTGAGGGACACTGCGGTATAGCTGATGGAGTGCTAGACTTGCAGTTAAGAAGGTCAAGGTTCAAATCCTGCCTCTGATACTTAGCCGTGTGACCACGGTCAAGTGACTTAATCTCTAGGAGTCCCAATAGAAAATAATTTTGGTAACACCTACCTCACAGTGTTATAGTGAGGGTCAAGTGATATAGGGTACATGAATCTTAAAACACAGTACAAAGAAGATGTTGATGTTATGTCTGGTGCAGGGTGAAAATTGCTCAATATGACATCAGAGAACTTGAATTGCAATCCCAGACCCGTCACCTATTACCTGTATGGCCTTGGGAAGTCACTTAACCTCTCTGGGCCTTAGTCTCCTCATCTGTAAAATGAAAACAACTGGACTAGATGTCTTCTGGGGCCACTTCCAGCTCTAAATACATGATATTAGGATGATGATTATTATTCATATTAGACAAGGAAGGAGAAAAAAATCTAATATTTAGCTGAATGCACTGAAATTCCTTAAGAAATTGAGCCATCGCTCAACAGATCATTTGACTGAAATGAAAGGTTATACCTTTCTCCCAGTTTTGTAAGGTTAAAAAAAACAGTAGAAGTATAAATTAAAATGAATTTCTTGCTTGTAGTCACAGCTAATAATAATACCAGCTGATGTTTGTAAAGTGTTTACATGCACTTGCTACATGCCATCAAATTTGATTTTCATAACAACACTGTGAGGTAGATAGGGTAAGTAAAATTATGCTTCTCTTTCCTCAAGTCATCAGTCCACCACACTCCTATTTCCCCCTACTACACACACACACACACACACACACCCATTCAAGTAACTACTTTGACCTCCTTCTTCACTGAGAAGATCAAGCCCATCATGTTGAATTCTTTCAACTCTTCTTCTCCACTCCTCAAAACTTCTGCACAGCATCCCTTAACTCTTGAAGTTCTCTCCAGTCACAAAGGAAGCATCTCTACTACTCCCAGCTGTAACTAATCCTTCAGCATCTTCCCTCATTCCCACTTCCCCCAAGACCATAGTTCAATCCTATCATCAGCCTCCCCTTCACCACTAGCTTCAACCCTAGCTCTAGGACTCCCAAAGCTAAAAATTAAAGGCCTTCCTTTGACCTATCCCCTTCAGTTAGTCTCATCTAGTTCCCTCTTCAATTCAAAAGTGATTGAAAAAGTTTTCTATACTCTATGCCTCCCCGTCCTCATACCCACTTTTCTCTCAATCCCTTGTAACCTTGCTTCCAAGCTACCATTCTTTTTTTAAGGCAATTAGGGTTAAGTGACTTACCCAGGGTCACACAGTAAATGTCTGAGGCCAGATTTGAACTCAGGCCCTCCTGACTCCAGGACTGGTGCTCTATCCACTGCACCATCTAGCTGCCCCTCCAACCTACCATTCTAATGAACCTCTTCTCTCAAAGATTAGCAATGAGATCACTCCTTTAAAATATTTGTTCATTTTTATTTTAAAAATGAACAAATAATTTCAAATTAATCTGTCCCCCTCACTACCACCCATTGAGAAAATATAAAACAAAACGAAAATAAAGTTCTCAATATGTAGGGTCATAGTACTGAGAAACAAATTCCTACATTAGCCATGTCAAAAATGCATGTCTCTTTCTGCACTTTAAATTCATCACCTATCAGGAGGTGAGTGATGTATTTCATCTTCATTCTTTTGGACTCTATCATGTATCATCACCAAGACAACTCAATCACCAAGGCAAGTGGCTTGAATTTTCTTTTCCTGTTTTCATTCTATTTGCCCTCTTAACATCATTCCACACTATTGATAATATCCTACTGGATAATCTCCCCTGCCTCAGATGGAGACATAATATTCTCCTGGTATTCCTCTTGCCTCTCTAATCAATCCTTCTCTGTCCCTTTTATTGGCATCCTCATCCATATTACCACTTAACATGGGTGTTCTTTCAAAGATGTGTCCTTGACCCTCTTCTCTCCCTTAGGTATGAATTTACTCTCATGACCTCAACTATTATTTCTATGTAGGTGACTCCAAGGGCATCTAGGTGGCACAGTGGGCCTGTTTCCTCTTCTGCAAAATGAAGTAGCGAGACTCCTTTAAGCTCCTTTCCAGTTCTAAATATATGTTATATGCAATCACTTACCTGATCCCATTGGTGTTACCATCACAATCTCTCTCATATCTATCCCCACCTCCCTAATTCCATTCCTACTGCCTTTGTACAAGTCTTCATTACCACACACTAAGTCCATAGCAATAGCCTTTTAACCAATCTTCCCAGCTCTACCTCTCCTCTACAGCCAATAAATCCACCCTTTATATCACTGCCACACTAAGCTTCCTCATGCAAGGATCTGCTCCTGTCTACTCAAAAATCTTCACTAGTTCCATATTCTCACTTGCTTCCTAGGACATTCTCATCACTCACAGTAAGAAGAAATGGAGCAATAACCCAGGCTGAATATCTCAGAATGAGCTTTCACCACTATAAATCTACAGTAGCTCCCTATTGCAAGTAAACTTCAAACTTATTTGCCTGAAATTTGCTCCCAAATCTGGCACCACTCTACATTTTAATCTGTAGGATTATAATACTTCTTTCCACATGGCTCTGGTCCACTGTTCCCAATCCCTGAAATCCTGCCTTTCTTTTAAAATCCCAACTGCATTGTCACCTTCTCCATGTACCTTTCCCTGATCCTCTCAGTCTGAACAACCTTTCACCCTTGGAATTTATATAGATCACAGTTTCACACCTTCCTAATCCACTCATTCTGACATTGTCAAATGTTATCATTTTCAGAGTATAGCATATCATTTATAGTGTTCATAATCTAGGAAGAGGGTAAGGGAGCGTGTCTCATCTAAACTTGGGATCTCCCCCATGCTTTTTAGCCCAGAGCTCTGCACAGAGTAGGCATTTAATAAATTTTTATTGAATTGAATCTCCTTCTACAAATGAGGAAACTGAGGCACAGAGGCCATGCCCAAGGCCATGTTGCCATCAAGTGACAGAGCCATCACTTATAACCAAATCTTCAGATTCTAATCCCAAGGCTTTTTCAAGTATCCCAAAGCAAACAAAAAAAATCAAATCACACACTCTATAATCCCACCCACTCTTCCCTCTAAAAACTGATACAACAGGTAACATCATCAGCTTACAATGACTACCAGGGGTAGCTATGAAAAAGCTGGGGGTAGGGAGATAGGAAAGATAGTTATGGAAGGAAGCCTGGGAGTGTGTATGTACATATGCTTTGAAGAGGGATTTTTAAAGGGAAAGAGGGGGTTTTAAGCAGATTGTGTGCGTGGATATAAATCTCAGGTCTGTTTTTTCAAATTTCTTTTCTTTTTAGCACCAACTGAAGGTAACACCTCCTTTTCCCTGAATCTCTGCCCAGGCTCAGACAGCTTCCACAACCTAAGCTGTCCAAAGCACAGCGCACATCAGGTACTTACTGATTGTTGTTGTTATTGTTGTTCAGTCATTCACAGTCACGTCCAACTCTTTGTGACCCCATTTGGGGTTTTCTTGGCAAAGATACTAGAATGGTTCGCCATTTCCTTCTCCAGCTCATTTTACAGATGAGGAAACTGAAACAAACAGGATTAAGTATTGTCCAGGGTCACATAGCTAATAGGTGTCTGAGGCCAGATTTGAACTCAGGTCCTCCTTATTCCAGGCTTGGCATTCTATCCACTGAGCCACTTAGCTACCTCACTAACTCATTAGCCTTCCCCTAAGAACAGATTTCTTCTGATCCTACAATTCTGATACTGACAGCCAGTCCCACATTAACGTAGTCCTACATTCTCATCTTTGGAATTAACACTGATAGTACAAAAAATGCCCTTCCAAAAGTGGAAACTTTCTAATAGGTTTTACTAGAGTTGGAATTTTGAAAGAGATTTTTTTTCAGGAGCCCAGATTCATGGAATATGAGTTAGAGGGAATCATCCAAACCTAATCTAAACTATGAACTACTTTCCACAATATCAGCCATCAGTTCAAGATGGCCAGTGGTAGAGAACTTAATACCAAGGCAGGGCACTTTACCTTTGAACAGCTCTAGTTTGGAAAAAGTGTTTCTTTATGTTGAACCAAAAAAAAAAAATCTACCTCCAAATCTC